GGTGTTGAGAACATCAGTGGCCTTATTCTGAGATTTCATAAGGCTGAGTTTGCACACGTGGACATAAGTTCTGCTCACAGGTAAAGAATTGTGGACTTTAAAAACCTAAGAGGCACTATTACAAGTCACTAGGAACAGTCTCAAAGAGCAGCTTCTTTGGGCAACAAAGAGACTGGAGTTGTGGGCTGTCGTGTGAGTGTGGTGGAACCACTCACTGGAGTCGCCAGTGGCCTGGGACGCACGTGTGACTCTAACAGTCGCTGTTTGAGGATGTGAGAATACGGTGAAGCTCGTGTTCCTTAATGTACTCCACAGTGGCCAGTCCAGTTGCGATCTATTTTTTTATCCAGAGGCTTAGTTAAATGATGTGATAAAATGATATATGAGAATTAAGACAATGAAATTCTTTATTTCTGGGTAGAAAGCAGTACTGGATTAAATTTATCTGTTAAAAAGAAAAAGAAAAATGTTATCACCCAAACCCCCTTTCCCATCTTGCACTTTGTTTTGGATTGGGCTTGGGGGTAGAGATGTTTTTCTTAACTGTCTACTTTGTTTGAACACTTTTTTTGTGATTCAAGTGCTGTTTTGTGTGTTGGGACCAAACAGTTGTCAATAAACTTTACAAGCAAGCATCTAATTTGAGTTTTCCAAGTGAGTGTTTTGTTTGTTGGAGGGGAGGGATTATAAACCACTCCAGTTCTGTCATCTTTTTCATTCTGGGTTCCCCCAACTTCTCACCCTTTCTGAGCACCTGTAAGGTGGAGAGCAAATTGGTCTGACATTTGAGAGCCCCTTTGAATTTGTCATCTGGCCCTGGAAGGTGACAATTATTGACCCTTCGTGGTCAGGACCCCCTGAGGTTTCCAGCCTTACTCCAGCATATAAATTGTGTGGGGAAAATACAATAATCAGAAATTCCCTCTGGTTATAAAACTTGGGATAATTCCTAGACACTCTTTCGCTGTGAAAGAAATCCATTTTGCAGGCTACCTTGGATTTGGTCACTGCCAGGCCATGCTTTTTGAATAAGCCTATTTGCAAAAGACTTCTTTCACAGATTCCAGTGTGCAGTCCTTTCCCCGAGACCACTGTTACTCCCCACCAGCCCTCCCCCCCCTTACAGTTTTGAAAGAACCTAAAAGAGACTTGAGTGGGTAAATTGCTTCTTGATGAAGTGCCTTTTTTTTTTAAGTTCAACATTAAAAGGCTTTTAAAATCCCCTGGCGATCCTTTCAAAAAATCTTTCACAGTGGCCAGTTTTTGCTGGAAAACTTGAGAAGCCACTGTGTCCCTTTAGAGCAGGGCAAGGAGGTTTGGAGGGTCTGGATGGGGATTGAGCGGGGCGCCACATTTATCTTTGTGCATTTCCTGTCTGGTCTGGAGACGGCAGCCTAGCAGACATGGTCAGAATGAGGGCAGACCTGTCCTAGGGGAGATGGATGTGGTCGAGGACCTGACTCCAGATGGACAGTTAAATTGTTCCCTTTACCATGAGGAGCCTTGTGCCTTGAGACTTACCATGTCTGGTTTCTAGCTGTTCTGTGTGGGCAGAGACTGAGTCATCAGAGATCCCTTCCCCTCCGCAGCCGTGACTTGCTCCAGCCCCTGTTTGCTCTGCAGATAGGGACAGGTCACATTGGCTCTGGGGCTTGGGAGGAGCAGGAACCCTCACTGTGCCCATAAACCAGCAGTCAGTGAGGTCTCCATCACCGCTTTACGTGACCTAGCACCTCCTGCGCTGCTTTACTTCAGGCTCAGTCAATCACTGGCCAATCTCCAGGTCACTGATGTGATTACAGCATCAGCCTTGTCTCATTCCTCTCGGGGGAGAGATGCAGCGAAGGCTGGCCCAATCTGCTTGTTCAGATGAACCCTTCCAAGGCTGAGTGGTGACTCTCTTTCCCAGAGGAGTTGTAGTCTCTTCCTGGGAGGTAGGCAGCCCCTGGGGACAGCTTAAGTGGGAATAGGAGGAAACCTGGTGGCCTTTGGGATGCAGTTGGCAAATTATAGAACTGGTGGGAAGGCAAGCCCCTCCTTTTTCAGGTGTGTGGGACAAGGAGATGAGAGCTGGAGAGCCAGAACTTTCCTCAGCAAGATGAAGAGAATTCACATATCCTGGGAAGGAAGGACTTGGAAATGGGGGATTTAGGGCACATAGGAGGAAAGGGGAGGAGACATCTGTAGTTCAAGCAAAGGACCCAGGTATTGGGCCCCTCACCCCACGTTGGTGAACCAGCTGGGGGCGCTGCAGTAGTTGGGGTGGCCCTTCCACCTCTGCCCGAAAGCCTTACCGTTGTGGGAGAACCCGGCTCCCACCTCCCACCCCTTCTCCCTTGCAGACAGGTCACCTGCAGGCTGCAGGAGCCCAGCCCTCGGCATTAGCAGCCATTGAACCTGGTGTATCTGGGCCAGACACGGAATATTAGGAAAGAAGTTTCAGAAATCTGTGTTCTAATGTAGAATCCCTGTTTCATTTCTATACATGGAGAGACCAGTGACATTTTGCACATGGATTCTGAGGCCTGACCCCTGCTGACCCTCTCTCCATCTGCCCCCTCCTGCCTAAGGGCCCCAGGCTTTGCTGGCTGTCAACTGGAAGCCACCTGCAAACCCTGGAGGCTCCTCATAATTGAGGCTCAGCTCAAAGCCAGCAAGGAGGATTTCCCCTCCACTAAGAGAGGCTTGCCTAATGGAACCTAATCAAGGGAATGACTTCCTGTCATCTTTGCCAACTTCCACTGGTTATGAACAAGTCACAGTTTCCACCTCCTGGACGATCCATAAGTATTTGATGAATTTGAGTGAGTGACTGACAAAGGAGGCCTGAGACATCCAATCTAGCTCCTGGCATGGGAGGAAAGGGGTTCCCGGGCTCAACCCTCTAAAGGTCAACAACCATGCTTCAAAGCTGCAAGGGCTTAAATTAAGATGGACTCATCCAACCACCCTCCACCTCCAAGCTGAGTAACAGTGAGGCTGGCGAGGGCGAGCCATTGCCCAAGTCACTCCATGCGTGGCGCAGCTGGGCCAGAGGCCCTGGTCTACACAGCTCCCAAGTCTAATCTTTGTTGAGCCCCTACTGGGTGCCAGGCACTGAGCCAGGTATGAGGACCCCGATGAGTAAGTAAGACGTGGGCCCAGCCGCCATACCTTCCTGCCTACCCCCAGAGTGGTGATTCTCAATTCGGAGAGGGTATCAGAATCACGAGGGAGACATGTTTAAAATGCAGGCTGTCAGCTAAAGCTGAGATAGGCTGGGACCTGGGACCCTCTACCAGAGTGTCTGTGCCTGCACCTGGGCGACAGAATACAAAAAATATATAAGGGGCCAAAAACAACTGGACGCATGTGCAGTTGGGGTGGTTAGGAACAATAAGATACAGAAAGGCCACAAACCCCCTGCCATTTCTGAGGTGCCAGGAGCAAAAGCAGGGCACTGCACACAGCACCACCAAGGGGGCGGGCAGACCACCTAAGCCACCTCTCCAGCCCAACCCACCCGTCCATCTGCCCCGACCCTCACCCCACTTAATGATGCGCTCTTCCCACCACTGGACAGCGAGCAAGGGCACCTGTTACTTGTTTCCTCTCCCTCGTGCTGCAGCCTTGCCTGAATTTCTCATCTGGCCTCTTATCAATGTCTATTGATTGAAGAGTCCAAGGGCCCGGATCAGTAACGAAAGCACCGGCCAGAGCTGTCAAGGGCATGGAAGACAAAAAGACTGAAGGAGGGTGAGGAGACAAGACAACAAAAAAACAAACTTGCTCCTGGACCAGGTCCCATATAGTGGAGGAGAATTACTGTAATGGGGGAAGTCAATAAATTGTAAACACTAGGTAGTGGTATTGTGTCCCTGGACTTGGAGAACCGTTCTGTAACAGGAAAGAGAACCCTTGTTCTTTAACTCACGCTGAAGGATTTAAGGGTGAGGCGACATTATGCCTGAAACAGATCATCCTTGGAAGAAGACAGGTGTGCCGAGAAAGGGAGCGAGAAAGCAGATGCAGCAAGATGCAAGCAGCCGCCAGTGAATCTGGGTAAAAGGGCACACAGGGATTCTTCGTACTATTTTAAAGACAACTTCTGTAAGTTCGAAGTTATTTCAAAATAAAAAAATCATCTTAATATTGTTGAACAGGCTCCTGGGCCTCCCTGGGGGTTGAGGCCTGAGAGCGGGGCAGTTAGGCTGGGAGCTGGCTGGCCCAGGGCCACGCTCTTCTCGGAGCCCGAAGCCACAGAAATGCTTCCTGGGGGGTTTCTGTCCTTCTAGTCCTGTGGGTAAATAGTGGCTGTTCGAACCTGAGCCAACAGCTCTTGGGTAAAGCCAGTCAAGGGCATGGCAGGGACCCACAGGGGCCCGGCGCTCCTTTCCCTTCAGGCCTGAGCTGCCCGTGGGGCTGGGCTGGACATCACAGAGATAAGCAGACGTTGGGCACTGAGTCCGACCCGGGGCTGTGAGTTCTGCCCAGGCTCCAGTGAGCTCGCTGGTGACCTTAGCAAATCCCTGCCTTGTCTGAAAGCCTGTTTCTTATTCTCGAAAAGGCAGCTGACACTTGTTTTTAACCTTCCAATATCCCTTCTTTCTTCTTCTGGCACAACTGGCTGACATCACTACCCACCTTCTGAGGTCGGCCTTTGGACCCCAGCTTGGCTAAGCAGGGAACCACACCCCTGGCCCAGCAAGTGATTTGGAGCTGAGTGTGTGACACTAACCAGGCGCAGGAGACTCCTCGCTGGGATTTATTTTTTTTTATTACTTTTTATTGATGTCCACCACACCAGAAACAGCTCACACTCTCCCTTGTGCCTCCAATTCTTAAATATAGATTTTTTCAGCAAAAGATACTGTGGTTAAGAAGGACTGAAGGCAGATAACTGGCATTCCACTGGCCACTCACTTAGATCAAATGCTAATCAAAACTTCCTGGTTTTGTTTTCAGTTGACGTATAGGTGATTTACAACGTTATGTGCCTTTCTGGTGTACAGCATAGCGATAAAAATACGGAACACTTCACAAATTTGCGTGTCATCCTTGTGCAGGGGCCATGCTAACCTCTGTATTGCTCCAATTTTAGTATGTGTGCAGCCGCCGAAGCCAGCACCATGCTGGGACTTTTGTTGAAATCCCTGGATTGTTCCTCTGGGAGGCCCCAGGGGGTGGAAGCCGGGAGCTACAGCTGGTGCCATACAACAACTAAGCCACCGTGAGTGAAGTGGGGAGATGTAGCAAAAGGCAGAAAACATCGTTTGAATCCCCGGACCCACTGGTACCCTAGATCTCAGGACATCTCAGCCCAGGAGCCAGGAAATGCCCATTTAACTTTTTGCCTGTTTGGCTTCAATTTTGGTCTTTGTGTGTGTGTGGCGGGGTGTAATTAGATGTATTTATTTATTCATTCTTAGAGGAGGTACTGGGGACTGAACCCAGGACCTCATGTACGCTAAGCATGTGCTCTACCACTTGAGCTATACCCTCCCTCCTCAATTTTAGTCTTTTATAACCAAAAAAAGATCTGTTGAAAACAAGTCAACAGGCCCCAAATGGAGTCACTGATGCTAAGCCCCATGTCACCAAACTAAGACATAACCGGGTCTCCCAGAAATGGAATCTTAAACTAGTCAGTCAGGAATTGCCTGACCAGCACTAGGTAGGTCACCTGCCTGGCACACCCCTGCCATCCCTTAAAGGAAAGTGACTTTGCCAGAAGTAACCCGCTTTGGGGTCTCATATAACTGCCTTGTCCCGCTCCCTTTCTGCCTGTAAAAGTCTCGTTTTTTTCCTTTCTATCTGCTAGGTTGGATGCTGCCTGATTCATGAATCGTTGAACAAAGCCAGTAAGATCTTCAAATTTTACTCAGTTGAATTTTGTTGTTTTAAACAAATCCTAATGCAGAGAGCTCCAGTTCCACCCAGGGGGGTGGAGAAGGGCACCGAGAGGTTCCTGCAGCCCAGGAGAGCCCTCTCGGCAGGGCAGCCCTCCTGTCCCCCGGCCCCTGCCACCACCACCACCACCCCCCGCTTCCTCCTGCTCCTCTCCCAGCCACTGCTCGGTGCTGAGATGCATCCTCCCTCAGGAAAAGTCCCTGGACCCCAGACTCCATTAGCCGCCCCCTCCCATGCCCCTGCAGCCTGTGCTCACCCCTATCCTGGTGGGACAGAGGAAGCCTACAGTTACTCATCACAGCCCAAACCTGATGGAGCGGCCTTTCCTGGGAGAGGGGGAGCCATGAGCCACGTGTATCTTATCAAGAGAGGACTCAGTCTTCTTTGTGGGTGGGAGGTGAGCCCTGGCGCTGGCTAGCAGCACAGGTGAGGCTTCTCTGGAAATGCAAAGGGGACCTGGAGTTTAGGTCAGCCACGAAGGCTGCAGGGTGCCAAATTGTTCCAGGAAAGCAAGAGGGAAATTGCTGGTGGAGAGGCCTGGGGGCGGGGTGAGTCATAGGGTGGCCCCTGGCAGAGCTGGTGGAAATGGGAATCCGTCAGTCACCACTGGCTCGTGTGGCTCTGATGTAAACCCTGTCCCACCTCCATGATCGTTCTGGAAGGTCGGCTTCGTGTGGGGAGGCAAGGACCCACGTGGTTTCTGGGGAACGTGGGGAAGAGGGACTGAGTTCCACGTGAACTTAGCAGGAGAGGGAGAGGACAGGCAGGGGGAGGATGTGGGAGGTGTGGAGAGTCAAGGCAGGTGTGGCTGTGGGACTTGCACCCCCCAGGGAAGCGGCAGACGTTGGGGGGAAGCACGTGGAACGGGGCTTCACTGACATTTGGGTTACAGCGACTTTTGTCACATGGCAGAGTGTCCACGGCTCTGCTCACCGCCAGCTTTGTGAGGGCAGGACCCAGGTCGGGCTGACTCACCTCGCATCCGCAGCCCCCAGCCCTCCAAGAACCACAGCCAGCCTTGGGCCGCCTTTCTGATTTTACAGCTTCCTACATCAGATGGAGGCAGTAATGACTGCCTTCACACGTGCCTCGCGCTAACCCCTTCCCACACCCAGTCTCCTTTAACCCTCTGTGGTTCTCTCCATTTTACAGGTCTGGACACCGAGGCACAGAGAAGTGAAGGAACCACCCGGGGCTCATGCAGGGAGGGCAAGTGGCAGTCTAAACCCAGGGAGGCTGACTCCAAGCCTCAGTCACTTTCTAGCTTGCTTTCCCTGCTGCTAATCCTGCTGGCCAGGGGTTTTGTTCAGACTTAACCCCGGCTAGGAGGCTGCCCCCACCCTCCTGTTTGACGTTCATCTCCCTCCCGAAAGTAAGGTACGTGAAGGCAGGACTGTCCCTCCCTGGTTCATCACTCTGTTCCCTTGCACCTGCCAAGAGCGGAATTCACGAACACGTGAACAGAAAAGTGACCTGACATTTGCTCCTCAAGCCGGCTTTCCCGAGTGTCTTGCTCCAGCCCCCGACACCTGCCCCACTGTCCTATGTCTTGGTGGGTGGCCTTGGGCATGTTGTGACGTTGTAATGGCTGCTTCTCGAGCTGCAGGTAAGCTGAGTCGCCGAGCCTCTGTGGCTCAGGGCTGTCCAGCCACCACTGAATGGAGAAGCTCAGAAAAGGCTCAGCTGTGGCTGCCAAAGCCGTGAGTCACCTCTGAGTACAGCTCAGCCAGGGACGGGGTGGTGATGCTGCTTAGAAATGAGGAAGAAAACCCCAGGCCTGGCTCTCACCCAGCTCTCAGGCTCAAGTCCCGGCTCTACCACTTATATGCTGCGTGACCTTGGGCGATTCACTTCCCCTCTTTGAGCCTCAGTTTCCCCATTTGCCAAAAAGGGGTGATGAGCCCTCTCTCCCTCCCTCTGATGGGACGGAGTGTAAGGGGGCACTCCCCTGCCTAAGGTGTCTGGTTTCTATGCCAGCACCTTGCTCAAAGTGCTCACAGCAACCCCGCCCTGTTGTCAAGTCCTGTTGGCCCTTTTCATCGCGTTCTTAAGGTCGCATGACCTCTGGGTCAAGTTGGATGCTGCAGCACACACCCTCCTTGACATTGCCTGGTGTTCCTGCTCCTACTCAGTGTGTTCCCTTAAATGTTGGTGTGATCAAGGGTCTGAAGCTGGAGGAACAGTGAGAAGGGAGGTGGGAGAGACACTTGGGGGCTCGCATCACATAAGGCGTTGAAAACCAGGTCCCAGCCCCAAGCCTTTACTGTGAGGATGGAGGGAAAGTGTGGAAGAGTTTTAAACCTTGAAGCAACCCACCTGGTTAGATTTGCACTTTAAGGAGGTCATTTTGGCTTCAGAGTGGCACACAGGTAGACCAGAGAAAGGCTGGCAGGGCATCTGAGAAGTTCTTGGCATGAGAATAACGTGTGAAGGTCCAGGAGAGGTGCCAACAGAAAGCTTGGCAAGAAGAACCAAAAAACCCAAGGAATTTTTCAAAGAGGGATCCAAGTGAGCAGGTGGGACGAGCAGGAAGGGGCCAGATCTAAGAGGGCCTTTTAAACCATGTGAAGGAACACAGATTTTTGTCCTAAAAGCCTTGGAAACGGTCTTCAAGACGGGAATAACAATTAGGTTTGCGTTATTCAGGAGAGCACCTGGCCACTGTGTGGAGGATGGCCAGTGCCATGGAGGCTAGTTAAGAAGCTACTGCAGTTGACCAAGCAAAAGACAGTGGGGCAACACTGGGGGACAGATGAGGGTCACTGCAGTGTGGACAGATTCTAGAGAAACTTAGGAGGTGGAAGCTAATGACTTGGCAATCGCATGGACGTGAGGGGGAACAGAGGAGTCAAGGACAAGTCTCGGATAATCTTGGCAACTGGGTGGTGCCCTTGGGAGAGATGGAGAAACAGGGGAAGCTGAGGAAGTTTAGGATGGGGGTTGGTTGACTTTTTCTTAAAGGGCCAGAGAGCAAATGTTTTAGGATTTGCAGGCTGTTTGGTCTCTGTCACAACCACTCAACTCTGTTGTTGTAGCACAAAAGCAACCACAGGTGATACATACACACATGACCTTGGTTATGTTACAGAAAACTCAAATCTACAAAAACAAGTGATGCGCGGGTTTGCCACCCCTGGCTTAGGGATCACCATGTTCAATGTGCTTACCCTGGATCCAAATGGAGATCCTCAGGGAAGAGTTGGAGAAATGGGTCTGAACGTAGGAGAAAGGTCAAGGTGCAAGAGAGAATTCAGGCAAAGTCGGAGTGCAGATGGCCATCTAAGACCCGGAGAGGGAGAAGAGCAGAATGCTGAGGGCCAGGCCCTGAGGACAAGGAAGGGATAAAGGAGACTGGAGAAAGGGGCTTCTGAGTGTGGGAGGTACACCTAGACAGTGGGCAGGTAGGCAGTCAAGTCAAGTCGACAGCCAGCCTGCAGGCTGGTGTGCGTCAGTTGGATGTAAATGAGGGGTACCGAATATGCCACTCCGAAACATGCCCCTTTGGCCTATAGATTATTTCGATTAAAAGGCCACTGACAATCAGCAGATGCAGGAAAAACTCTAAAAACTAGTCATAAGTTTTCTTAGGAAAATCTCCATTTACAGAGGAATTTCCCACCTGTAAAAGGTGTCTCCCTCTTCCATACCTGGAAAAGGAGGACTCTTATCAATGGAGAAGGCAGGACTTCAATCTGCATAACAAACTTTACAAAACAGCCCTCGTTTACGTGTTTTCCCCAGCTCACCTTCCCCTAACTTGCTTCCCCCACCTAGAAGCCCCAAAGTCCTTTTCTTCCATCTTTGCCTAAGATGGTTACGTATCTAAGCTGGGATGCTCCCACATGTCATGTGTGATGTGCGTGTTAATAAACTCCTTTTTGGTTTTTTCTCTTGTTAACCTGTCTTTGGCCAGTTTCATTTACAAGGTCCCTGCTGGAGAACCTAAAATGGTTAAAGGAAGAGATTATTTTTCCCTCCTGTAGGTAACCAAGGAGTCAGTGACAAGAAACGGGTTTGAGGAGGGATCTGGAGACAGGAATGTGGAGTCAGCAAGACGATGGACAATTCTCAAGAAGTACTGAGGCGGGAAGCCCCATAAAAAGACCGGCAGGACCCCCAGACAGGGCCACTACTCTCCTGCCAGCACCATCTGCTTCCCTGGCCCAGAGATTCTATCTCACTTTTTGCCTCTGAAACGGCTTACTTACCCCCTAAAAT